GTCAGCCTCAGAGTCCTCTGTGGAGGATGAGGAGCCATCCTCGCACTCAGAGTGCATGACCTCGTCCAGACCCTCCTTTGTGTCTTCTTGTTTTATTGTCTCCAAAATGACCATCTGTGTGCTGCCATCCTCGCACTCCGAGAACTTGACCTCGTCCAGACCCTCCTTTGTATCTTCTTGTTTTACCATCTCCAAAATGACTACTCCTGTATTACTGCTCATACTTTAATACGGCTGCAGTGAAACCTACATAAACAACGTCCAATTTTCCAACAGGAAAAAGTAGCACTAGCTCCTAGTCCAAAATGAAATCTTAAAATAAAAGGAAGGCATTCGTTTAAGATAAATGTAGGCTCAAAATGGCATTTTCAATTGGACATTTTTTGTCTTCTGGATCAAATATGTCAGTTTTTGTGGAGCTTGGCCTTTTTAGGCTAATTTAAGGAACTGAGAAAATAATTAAGTCTTTATAAAAATGAAGATCCTCTGGCAAATTTGAGCTATATTTATTGAACACAGCCAAAATGGCATGAAAAAGAAATATGGCACAAAATGTCCCTCTCTCAAGGTTAAATAAGAACCATCACAAAACTTGATAGTCAGTTGTCTGCAGGCACCGGTCACCACCTAAAAACAAATATCAGGCATGAACTTTTGTATTAATGTAAATTCATGCAGTCTTCACAAGAGTCTCAAATAGCTCAGTACTTACTTTAAAGCAGACACAGCTTTGCCATCTCCACAGGGCCAAAGGGCTTCACAGCTGCATTTTTAAACAGGTACATCATTAAAATGAAGTGAGGAAAACTTTTAAACCAATGGCTGTTTAGCAACCATGCAGCCTCAGAATGAAGTGGAACGGTAAGGGTTATAATCAAGAGCACTCATTTGGCAGAATCTTCATCACAGGCCAGTTTCATCTATAGCTTATGGCACCCACTGTTTAAGGTCTCCAACATGCTTACCGAGGTCAGTGTGAGAAATCCAGGTCATTCCTGGAAAGGAAAGAAAACCTTATTACAAGTCACAGACCAGTTGGTGACAACTTGCTTCACTGGGTTGCTCAGTAATAGACAGTGTCCACAATAAAGTTCAGGTCAGACATTTGTAAATAAGTCACCACACCCATGACAACTTTGCATTTTGCCACTCTGTGCATTCTCACCTCAGTTGATCTCGTCTGTTCAACAACGTCTCAAGAGCATTTGTAACCTGAAGAAATAATGAACGTTAAGTCAAATATGCACATGAAACATTAGGATGAATATTCAAACACTGACCGGGTCAGCTAGAGCTAATAGAACACACTCCAGGGTTTACAGTCAGCCTTCACTTTGTCATCACACAGGCCAGACCACATGGATCAAGTGGTTTGACAACCACCAAGATCCAGACTATGATGCATGTGAAGCCTCTTCAGACACAGATGAGGTGGAGCTCAGGGGTCAACTAGCACAAAACCTCAGGTTCATGCCTTTTTGCAATAGTCACGTTTGTCTCAGTTCCTACAGTGTTGCATTAGGACAAAAAGAAAAAAAGGACAAATCCACTGTGACATCACCCATTGGTTTTCTGAAGAGCCATTTTGAAACTCAAGTCTCAGACGTGGAATTTTTATTGCTGAAATAGCCCTATTTTCTAGCAAGAGAGCATACTGTAGTGCTGCGTTTCTTGTTGCTGTGTATGTTAGCCCAAGAACTAATCCCTCTGCGGCTCTCAGCAAACTCCATGACGTCGTCAGCGTACTAGAGACAGCTCACCCCGATGCTGTATTTTATCCCGGCAGGTTATTAATCAGTGCAATCTACGGACTGTACTTCCCAGTTACTATCAACATGTGAACATTCCAATCCGGGGCAAGAACACTCTAGATCATGTTTACAGAAACATACAGGTTGTATACAGGGCTGCACCCCACCCCCACCTTGGATGCTCGGACCACATTTCTTTGTTCCTGTATCCATCTTACAGACAAAGACTGAAACAAGCAAACCCTGTCACCAAACAAATGAAACTCTGGACCCCAGAGGCTGAGGGCACCCTGCAGGACTGTTCACCCAGACAGACTGGGATGTGTTTAAAGCTGCAGCCACCTTGGAGGACTTTTCTGTCAGCGTACAGGATTATGCCGAGTATGTGACTGGGTACATTAGTACTTTTATTGACAACATTGTGGTCACCATACAAGTCAGGAGGTTCCCCAACCAGAAGCCCTGGATAAACAGTCAGGTATGCCACACGCTGCGTGCTCGCTCTCATGCATTCAGATCAGGCGATGAAACAGAGTACAAAGCTGCAAAGTACAAACTGAGGAAAGCCATCAACAGCGGCCAAGAGGCAGTACAGAGAGAAGCTGAATGGCTTCTATTGTACTGCTGACTTCGGACGGTTGCGGCAAGGCCTGCAGCACATCAGACTAC